CAGCAAGTGCAAAATCCATTTTTCATAAACTATCAAAAAGGAAAATGCACCAAACAAGTGGTCGGTATAAATAAAATTGGAAATGTACCCAAACAAATAGCACAATATTTAAACTTGCCCAATCCCAATTTATACACCGGCCATTGTTTAAGAAGAGCTTCTGCCACAATTTTAATTGATGCAGGTGGTGATTTATTCGCATTAAAAAGGCATGGAGGCTGGAAATCCTCAACGACTGCTGAAGGATATGTTGATAATTCATTAAATAATAAAACTTTAACGGCTCATAAAATTATCCAGTCAATTGAAAAAACAGATTTTCCACCTAGCACATCAGAAATAAATGAGAATATTTCTACTTATAATATACTTCAAACCATAAATAAGAGCAATCAAATAGAGTCTAATTCCTCTGCACCATCTACATCATCTCTTTCAGTGCCATCTACTTCTTATAAAATACCTCAAAATACTAACGAACCCATAATTATTCAAAATTGCCAAATTTTACCGTTAATTATTATTCTAAGAATCAATGATATGTTAATGAATTATTGTATTTAATAAATGTTATAGATTATGAAAGCTTTTTTATTATGAATGTATGAATGTGGTTGTAGATAAAGTATAGTACATAACTCGAGTTGTAAGAGCAATTACATGCTCGTAGAATTACTACACTCGCCGCTGACGCGGCTCGTATGCAACTTTTCAACTCCCATGTAATTAGCTTCTTACTACTCTTGTTATGTAATATACTATTGTGACATTATGTCAAGTTTAGAATGTGGTTCTTACCTTATTGCCCAGAGCTACGATGGTGCTGCCGTAATGGCTGGCCATTTAGGAGGCCTTCAAGCTAAAGTGAAAGAAAAGTTTAAACAAGCAATTTTCGTTCACTGTATAGTACATAAACTTAATTTGGTTTTATCGCGATGCATGGATAATATTAAAGATTGCAAAGTTTTCTTTTCGACGCTTGGTGGTTTGGCTTCCTTCTTTTCAAAGTCATCGAAAAGAACTCGCGCTTTGGACGTTCACGTTCAAAGAAGGGTTCCAAAAATTGCTCCGACGCGATGGAACTACAATGGACGTTTAGTACAAACAGTGTTTAAAAACCGTGATTCTTTGATAAACTTTTTTCAAGACGTTTGGGATAATAAAGAAACATGGGATGCTGAAACTGTTACTGCTGCTAAAGGGTATTTGCATTGGCTCAAACAAAAGTTAGATTTAAATTTTTTGCTTAACATTTTTGCAGAGATTTTCCCTTTTACTGACATTTTATTCGACATTTAACAGACAAAGTCAAATGACATTGGCTTTTGCTTTAAAAAAATTGATGATTTTAAAAATAGAATGAATAAAAAACGATCAGTTTGAACACTTTTGGAATAAGACTCAAAACATTGGCTTGGAACTTGAAAGAAAGAGAATTAGAATTGATAATGTCGGCGACAGAGAGACCTCCTATCGTCAATTATAGCCGACATTTTTGATAATATTCTACAACAAATGAACTCTTGATTTCAGAACTTTAATGAATTAAAATTTGTTGAATTGTGCAATTTTAATATTAGTAACTACGATCCATCAAAATTTCTATCGAAAGCTTTTAATTCACTAAAATGAAATTATAAATTTTTTTTTTGAATTCCAGCATTAAAGTCCCAGTTAAATGTTGTTTATGAAACAACTGAAATTAGTGATAAAAAGACGCCTATCAATGTGTTAAATTTTCTTATAACAACTGGTTTAAATAAGTCCCTTTGTGACGTCGTCAAGTTGTGTGAATTAGTACTAACTATCCCAGCCACAAGTGCGTCAGTTGAGCGAAGTTTTTCAGCTTTAAAGCGCATTAAAAGTTTAATACCAAATTCAACAAGTGAAGACAGACTCTCTAATTTAGCCCTAATATCCATTGAAAAACAGCTTGTTAAACAGTTATCCAAAATTTTACGACGATGTTATAGACAAATTTGCAGCCATTGAGGATAGGCGAATAGATCTTAAGTATAAATCAATGTCAACTGCTGTGTCAACTGTGTGAAAAATGCTGGAGAAAATAAAAAAAACTTCAGTTAAATGTTTTTTTTACGTTTAAATAAACCAAGGAAGCTTTTCAATGGTAAGTTTTTTTATAGCTTCTAGTACTAAACTAAGTAATAAAGTAAAAGTAACACTTCAAAAATCTCAATCTCGAATATCCTTAGTAATTGAGGAAAAAAAAGCAAGATTATGACAATATGGTGAATGCGCCGCAAAATTTTTTAGCTTGCGGCGCTTTGCTTACTGGCCCGCTGTATTTTTATACAATCGCTTCTCCTTCCAAAAATGTCACCGCACGCCACTGCTGCCTATTACGGATTTAACTATAATGGCAGATATTTTAATCATCTAAATACAACACATCCCTAGAAGAACAGTGACATCAAAAAATTTATTATTTTCAATGTAAATACATAAAATAATATAAAATCACTGAAGTTTCTCGGAAAACAATGACACAACTTATACTTCTATTATTTACCCAGATATGGATGTAGTGTCACTGTTTCATTATATTGATTTTCCATTTCGCCCCGTGCAACAGTGTCATTTTTCAGTTCGTTACGTTTTGTAGCTCTCGGGTTCGAAAAATAGTGGCACAAATCAATCATTATCATATTAGTTAAACTTTTACAAAGAAGAATAGTGTCATAATTAGTATTAAGACGTTGTTTTATAATTGAGTGTAATCATATTTAAACACAATGGCGGTTTGCCCGTAAGGGCACTTGGGTACGTGCACTAGTATAATAAACCAAAAAAAAAACTTACATATTTTATATTTTCCTCAATGCCTATTATTATTTTATCTAATAGTCAGCGCAAACCGCGTTGGCACGACACTGGATGACCGGGCGTTGAGCGACGTTCTGAGAATTCCGAAATTAAGTGGAAGATCGGGGGCACAGGGCACAGTAAATGTGTGCCTCTGTTGTTTTCTCTCTCATTATGATGCGAAAAACAAGGACAACGACAATATCGCTTAGCAAGAGATGAGCAAATGCGATGGATTATACATCACAAGCGGGCCGCTGTCCTCATCGTGACGTGCTGTACCCATGGCACAGATTATCTAGACCAGATACGAATGTACGCAGCGGCATCTTTACCGGCTCCCTCACAAAGGCGATGCCGGTTTTGGCTTAAGGTGCGCGTTTGTTGGACCAAGATAATAATTTATTTATTGTGATTACGAAAAAACGTTAGTTGGATCATTGGAATAGTTAAGAAATAAAACTACAAAGAAAATAACTTTTTTTATAAAGCAGTCAAAAATATGATGAAAAAAATCAATAATATTTATAAATGGAACAAATTTAAATTTTTCTTTTGGGTTTGTCTGACTTTTTCGAGGATTTCAAATCTCTGTTTGCATATTTAAGAATATATAAAATTCTGAGTCTTATAAATAATTTAATGGTGTACATTTTCGCAATTTGTTGGCAAGGATTCTATTTTACTCATCTCAAAAAGGTATGCGTTGGAAATTCCAGGCTTAGTTGACAAACTATCAAATAGATATATAAATATTTTTTCTAATTTGAAAATATAAAAGAAAAATTTTTCGCTGGAAGATTTTAAATTATCAAACACCTTTTCTTCAGAGTCGTATGCTTTAAAATGCGTTAACAAATTAGGATTGTTAGGAAAATTGCATTCTTCTGAGAAATTTACGCAAATTTCGCAAGAGTGGATATGTAATGATTTTTTGATTAAATAGACACATAGATAGTTAAATCATTTTGAGTGGTCACATTTAGCTCCCTGTAGTCACATTCAGAAATCGTTATTGCCCCAATTGATTGTTTTGAAATTTATTTAATTTTCTTTAAGCGGAGAACTTGTTTTCCTAAGGGAAAAACGAATTCCGGGATATCTTTCCAGTGTGTGCCCCACTGCCGCTAGTGCCCACGAGCCGCCACTGTTTAAACCTATTTATATGAAAGAACTGTCATATTTTAAAATGTAACGTTACTTAACTTATTTTATTTATTTTTGTTTCTAATGGAAACTTTGTAGTACCAGATTTTGAAATGAGACGTTATTCCCCTACGAAAAGAGTAAAAACGTTTTTGGATTTAGTTAGAACTCTTTTGATGTTTTTTAGCAATGGCTTCACGAGTTAATTGGCTAGCCGAAAGAAGAAAAAAATATAGTAGAGAATAACATAAATAAAGTAGTTAAAAAACTATTGAATCAACATCAAATGGGTTTTGATGAAATCTATGTTGACCACAAAAAAAAATGAAAAGAGGTAAAAGTGGTCTTTATACCCAACCCTGGAAGGATAGATTGCACTGTCCCAAAAACATAAATCCATAACTTTGAACCTAAACATAAAATGAGCTGTAGTTTAAAATTTTTAAAATAATTTTGAAAATGGATTCGAAATAAACATAAATTTCCCATTTTATCGACATTCTATCTTTATATTAAGCGAGATACTAATATAAAAACTCGAATTTGGGTATATATTTAAAACATTTTTGAATTTATGTCTTCAAAAACGTAATGAATACATTTTTTGGTTTTCTGCAATAAATTTTAATATTCCATTCTACCTAAATATATAACTAATATTCCTGTTTTGAACTCATATTCATTTTGTATTTTTCTTCGACATTCATCCACATTCCTTCAGCTTTATGAATGACGAAATTCTAAAAGTTATTAGCTCTAACGTAAAATCGAAATTTTTTATTCATTTCATTTACTATAATGAAATATATTAATATTAATTTAAAATTCAGTCACATTTAAAGGAAATAAATGCTATGGAAATAAATTGTTGAGTTATTTTTACAAGACAGCAGTTTGCTAAAGGGAGTTTAAAAGTACATATACTTTTAGAAGTTATCAAAATTAAAAAACCATGACAACAAATATGTGGAGCTGATTCGAATGTAAAAACTTATTTTTATTGCTCAGGAAAATAATCAGGAAGAACTTACCATCGAAAACACCCCGGAAACAGTCCATACTATGAGGCTCACATTAACACTCCCGGTATTTTTCAAAACTCCCGAAGGACTCACGAAAATCCCGGACCCAATGATACTCCCAACAATAACCGTGATCCCATTGATAAGGGTCATCTTCGGCTTGAGGGTGATTTCATCGTCACCCTTCTTAGATTCGTCCTCCTCCATGGTTGAATTTGTTCTATCCGTAGTGTGGTCGACGAGCACGTTGGAGCGAGAAGTGGCCTCGGAGGCGCTTGCATGACGCGCGGAAGGTGTCCGCGAGGAAGTTTCGGCCTCTATGGTAAGGGCTTTAAGGAATATCGAACGGGGCGAAGATGGGCCGTTCTAGAGCCTGCGGATTGAGCCGGTTGGGGTGGACAGAGCGGTAGAGTTTAGCGGAAATGAAGGATTTGAAGAATTTTAAGAATATGATTTGTCTTTGAGGTGGTTTTAACTTTTTTTTTGTGGATTTTTGATAAAAAATAAGGGATAGCGGTTTTGTATAATTCTATGTATAAATGTCACGATTTGTCAAATTTTTTGACAATATTTTAATGTATATACGAGGCGAATGCAATACATTTAGAGTTTAGAAGATATGAATGATTTCACATCTACCACAACCACATACTTTGATTACTATACGAGGCAAGAGATAGGTCTGACACGCCCAACATAGGGCGCGACCATTTTGAACCCTGTGACACAGTTTACAGCTAAAGAATCAGATCGCTCACTCTGCGTCGGCACTTTGGAAATCAATGTTTTAGTTTATACACTGTGCAACTCGGATAATACAATATATGACAACCGCCTATAATAAAACAGCAGTCTTCTGCGTATCCTGAATTTGTATCCCTGGAGTGGATGTTATTTTTGAACTTTCAACTGGTCCGAGTGAGCTAACTGATTCTTTAGCAATAAACTGTGACTTCAAAAATAATATTCACTGACACTGACAGCAGCAAGCAAAATATCAGGTGCGTTTTAATCATCCGCTTCTGCTTCCGGAATTGTCGGTTCAGTCGTTCTAACCTGTCAGATTAAAACAAGAAAACCGACAATTCCGAAGCAGAAGTGGATAATTAAAACGCACCTATTAAAAATATTGCGCCAAGATGAAGGCAACACGTAATAAGGGTTCAAAATGGCGGAGTTTTCTATCTCCTTTTAAAAGGCACTCAGAAAGCTGCGCAGTGCCACCATTCTCCGTATAGTAAAAGAAAATCAAAGTATGTGACCACAACCCATTCATAAATATTGTTTGTTTACACACCAACATTAAACGTCAGATAAGGTTGAAAATGGCGTCGTTGTTTACATTACTGATATTATTGCCATGGGCGTATCATTAACAGGAAAATGGTACAATAATAAAAGAATTCTGTTAAAATTTTTATTTATATATTTATTTACACAATGATGTATTATTTAAAAGCTAAGAATAACGATATTTAAACAATTTATAAATATTATGATGAACAATGTAACATTCTAAAAATATGTTAACATAATATTTATATATTATAAAATGAAAAAATTGGTTTTTTTACCTTAAGAAAATTAATAATACAGCACGGAAAAGCTGCAGAAATGTTATATTTTAAATTAATTTACATATTAATTTTATCAAAAAATTAATAATAAACATGATAATTATATATGAAAAATATAATATTGCTAATACACTATTAATTTACAGAAAACTGTGCAATTTTCTAGGAAAGGTTTCAAGAAATGTAATTTAAAAAGAAAAAATAAATATAATATGCTTGTTTATAAATGTACAAATATTTTATACACTACAGATACGCCAATGATTAAAAAATGTAACCTATAATTTATTTCAATTTAAACTTACTTATAGAACAATAAATTTGGATTTATATAATACAATTCTTTGCATACTTCACACTTTCTAACCATATTTGCAGAATTGTTCAATATTGTCCAAAAAGTATAAGAAACAATAAACACGATTTGACAACTGATACTATTTAACCTTGTATAAAAACGATAGTAAAGCGTCATAAGTCATGAACAATTTATGAATGGGATGCAGCTAAGCGCGGTTGCCACGTTTAATCCGATTTTCGCGATGATGACTGTGTTTAAGCATAGTTCGAGCACAGCTTATACAATACAGCTCCACAACTCCGTGTCGGCGTCTTTGATCTGGCGGTCGAGAACCAAGCAAGACGGAATGGTGCTATCTCTGTTAGATTCGAGGGAAAAGTCGGGCCCGGATTAAACAATTTTTTTATTATTGAAAAATTGAAAACCTTGGCGTAATAAGGTTGGTTACATGCCATATTAAGTAAGTTTTGGGAAATTAAATTTTTAATTTGTTTTAAATCTGTCAAATATAATTAGAAACATTATTTAAATATAAATATTACGAAAAATAGCACATCTTTCGGATTAGAGGTAAAATAATTTGTATGTGGCTAGTAAAATCCTCGTTAACAAATGTTTTGAGCTAAAACAGTCACTTCACGACAAATTGTGGCTTGGATCCTTTTTACACCAAGGGCTTCAATTGTTAAAGAATTGTGTCACGCTCGTGGATGCAAATCAAGTGGTACCCCGTGTCTCTGGCAAGTGTTACTCTTCGCGCAAAGGGTTTATACCTAGATAAACGAATGCTTCGACTGAGGTCTGGGAACTCTATGGTATTTTGGAATTATAAAGAATTTGTGCTTTTATTTTAACAATATTGGTTATATTTAGATGTATTCTTATTAATTGAAATACAGATTTGTAGAAGTAATACTTTGACAGTTTTTATTAATATAATATATTCAATTTTTATCTGACCATACCGAAGTAGGGAATTTTGAAACTTTATAGTAATGTGAAATTTGAATTACAATATTACACGATATTACATAATTAGTACTTATTTTAGGTAGGTACTAAATTTGTACTTGGAGAAAGTAATATCGATTTTTATAAGAAAACTTGAAAAGTAAATTAATTTAGTTCCTATTTCTGATGTAAAACTTAAGTTTTGGTTTAAACCAAGAAAACAAATAAATTATAGTTTGTTCAACAAGGGTGGATATGATAGCAATATCACACAAAGACGAAGTTTGAGCACGACGTCGTATGCGGAGTACTCAATCGTCTGATTGTGATATGAACAATCCACTCGATATGGTCAGTATATTTTTTCTACGACCCACTAACGAAAATCTACAAATTTAAAAAATTATTTTAGGTTATTTAGACAAAATAACTAATTTTAAAATAATTTACGAAGTTGACTAATTTATAAAATAAAATTAACATGAAAAATTAATTAGTCCTCGGCCTAGATTCGATCCCGGGCTTTTCGCGTGGAAGGCAGATGCTCTGTCCTCATCTTCACCGAAACTTTCAGGACTTTAGTTTTAATACTCGTAATTAAATTAGTATCATGTGGTTTGATTAAAATTTATTTTTTTTTAAATGTGGACACAATAAAAACAAAAATGCTATTATTTATCGAGTCTACACAAAAATTTTAATGTATATTTCAATAACTAAAATATATATTGACAATTAGTTTAACAGAATTGTCACTTATTTAAAAAAATTTAAATAATAGGAGTTGGGTGACCAAAATATGAACTGTGATTTGTAGATTTAATTTTGTTAAAGTGTTCTCACTACCTAAAATGGATATGAAATATATTCGTAGTTGAACGCAATAACATACTTTTTCGTTTTGTAGTATGTGCATAGATTGGCTAATATCCATGCACAGATTACAAAACGAAAAAGTATGCTATTGCTTTCAATTGAACGAATATATTTCATATCCATTCTAGGTAGTGAGAACACTGCAAAAAAAAATAAATTCGCCAATCACCTTTCATATTTTGATCAACCGACTGCTATTATTTTTAAAATTTTAAATAAATGACAATTCTGTCAAACTAATCGTCAGTATATTTTTTAGTTATTGAGATTAAACATACAATTAAATAAGTTATTCTTTTGGAAAACGTTAGCATGGATGACTAAAGGGTATTGGGTTAATTAATTCTAAAAGTGTGGTACAAATGTTATTTTTTGTAGCCAATTCTTCAAAATTATTTTGAAATATCTTTTCAATATTGAATATTAGTTCTACAAATTCATCATTTGACAGTTGCAGATTTCCAAATGTATCTGGATTGGCGTTATCATATGCCTTTAAAAAGCAATAAAAAGAAAAATCATCTAATTCAACGTGATCTTTGTTATATTTAAGACAGGTATCGCAGAGGAGTGGATCCGCAAGGCTTTTATTAAAAGGTAACCACACACATACCTGATAAAATTTTTCTGTATCAATTCGTCTTTACAATAATTTAGGGTGTTAATAATTTTATCATAAAATAAAATACAAGGTGTTCCATTTAAAAAACATACATTTTAATTTGCCAGGCAAAAACGTGACACCCTGTATATCCAAAGATATTTTTAAAATATGTAGGTATTTTTCAAATCCATATAACTTTTATTTAAAACTTTCTTGCGTGTCTACAACAAAATAATGAACAATAACGCACTAATGAGATACCCTGTATAAATTATATTTTTAACAATGAAAATTTCTTATAATGTGGTACTTATCGGTTTGGGTCCTTGGGAAAACTAAAGAATGTTTTCTTGCAGGTATAACCCTTATTAAAACAGCTTTTGACTGCACAAACAGAATGATGTCTTTTTTTTTCACTCATTCTACTCATAGCTAAAGAGTCACCAAAATAATAACAGTACCTTTAACTCAAACAAAATCAACGAAATTATAGGCTCCACGAAATTATACAATCAACGAAATTATAGGCTCCACGAAATTATACAATCAACGAAATTATACGCACGACTCAACACCTTACCTAAGTACGCTTCTGAACACCAAAACCGTCTTTTCCCTTCGAAGGCGGAGCTTAAGCGATGCGCGACGAAATCGACGCAAACCGTTGCCGCCAAGAGAGTGTTTTAGCTGTATTGTATTAGCTGTGGAATTAGTATCGGAATGAAAACTATGTTAATCTTCGGTCCTGTTTAAAATTGGTAATCTTTTTGAAAAAAAGTTATTTAGAAAATAGTTAAGATATGTGTTATAGAATGCCGTTAAAGAGCCAAAAAATTAAATTTATTAAAAAGTTGAAATTTTTGTTGTTTTTCTTTAAAAATATAAGTTTTTCGCGGTTTAGCGAAATTCTTGGTTCATTTTTACAACGATTGGCCTGAACCATTTTTTTTACAATTTTTTTTTAACTGCCTCAAATGTAAAATTGATTTTTGGTGGAGGAGCGCCCGTCATGTTTGCTCTTAAGGACGAGTCTCAGAAATTAGACATTAGCTATTTTTTGTACGTTCAAGAAAACTTGGTTATCAGTTTGTTTTTGAAGAATACCATTGGCATTCCAAGTGGCTATCCTAATTATTTGTAAGGCCTAAAATTTGTCTATTACAGATGCCTTTTTTTTTGTTTATTGTTCTTCGTTTTTCTCTTTTGTCTGTTTGTGAAGACATTCTTTTAACGAACCAAAATGTTCCATTTGTTATTGTATAATCAAGGGCGACTCCAGGACAAAGTTTTGAATGCTAATAACAATTTTGAACCAATGTTGAAGAGAGATAAGTGCCTTGTTTTCTTTAGCTCCTCAATCTACAGACTAACACAAGTTATGTAGAAACTACTAGAGGACATTTTTGTAGCTCTTCAACCCCAAAATAATAACGCCTGCAAAAACAATATTAGAAGACCTCTTTTTGTTCTTTAAGTCTTATTGTCATTTTGTACAGACTTTAAAAATTATATACGTAACCTTTCGGGGTAGCCAAGGCTGTATCATGGCTTTGCTGTGCGTATACTCACCCTAAATAAAAGGCACAGATTTTAAATATTTTACTTGGAGGGAGGGGGAATGGCATTGTGTGCTAAATAAATACCATGATAATATTAAAAAAAAGTGAAGTCCTTGAACATATTAAAAAAATTAC